TTAAGTCTAATGGTAATGGTTTTTAATGCCACTGTTGACTGCTGTTCACTTTACATGGTTCAAATGTTATTCTGTTATAGTTTATTAAATATTTTATTACACTATTTGGTTCAGAATATATTTTCCCTGTTTTCCTCCTCTAAAAATATGTGTGTCTTAAGGTCAGGTGCATCTTATGGAGCAAAAAATATGGTAAATTTCATGCTGTAAAATCAAATAATTTCAACCTTACCACAGAGATACAGAGATTCGGGTTGGGGCGGGGGTTCACTTTCAACTGAAGGACCATGAATTTTGAAAGCTGTTGTAAAAAATCAGTTACCCCAGGGAAGCATACTTTTACAGTTTGGTAAAGTACTTAAAATCACGTCTCTTTTCTCTTTCTTTTGTTTAAGTTTTACTGAAAGCTATAGGAACAAGATATCCATTTGCATGACTCAACGTCTTCTGGAAACAATAAAGATATCTATCTTGGGTGATTCAGTGTTCCACCTTTTCTGCTCCCAAGCCAATTTCCACCGAGGTGAGATCCAGATACCATTTGAACCCATTTCTAAAGATAAAGATGGGAGAAGTGACACAATGGGCAACATTTTTATGCAATACAATGAAGCCTTTGAAACTGGAAACATTTGAAGACAGATGTATTTTATTACATCACCAGCCTGCTGCCGCCATTACTTATAAACACCCACAGGGACTATTGAACACTAATGATGACAGTGGGAATTAATGCATGGATCAGAGCTGCACAGTTTAGGACTAACCATCAAGCCACCAGCAATGTGTGGTCTTGAACACCTCCTTTTTCTGCAGTTCCAAGCAGATGGTGAAGTGAAATGTTTGGTAGGCTGCATTCAGATAAGTGGTAATTGTTTGTTCAAGCAATAAGAAAGGAAAGAATGTAATCTTCAACATTGTAGGAAATGCAGGATGTTTTCTTCATAAACTTCCAAAGGCTATTTTCAAGGTGTGGAATAACAGGGTCTCATAGGAGCAGGTGGCTTTGTTTTCCAAGAACTTGTGAGAATTACTTTTTTGAATTACAACTCCCGTAACCCCCAAGCCAGCACAGCTAATGGCAACCTCCTGGAGAATTCTAGGAACTGTAGTTCACAAATAATTTTGGTTCTTTCCCAGTCTCCATCTGTAGTTCTGGTCAGGCCTGGTGGCTCACATGATGACAAGCCCACCTTTTGTTGCTTCCCAATAGAATAAGCTGGGTTTCACTTCACTGCTGATTTAATTTCTTGCAAATGGCCACCGAATTCTAGTTTGTTTTCCCCAAAATTTTGAATCCATTTCAGTTTTCCATTTTACTTTTCCTGCTTGACAATCACAGTCTTAAAAGAGATGGAACCAATTATGTGTATGATATGCTGTCAAGTTGAAACTGACTTATGGTGACTCTAATAGGGCTTTCAAGGGTAAATGAAATATTTGACGAGTGTTTTTTACCAATTCCACTCTCACCCAGTGAGTTTCCATGGCCAAACAGGGATTCAAACTCAGGGTCCCTGAGTCCTAGTCCATCCAGTGCAATATAACTAAAGAAATAAAGATGCTCAGTTGTTTCCAAATCTCTGAATGGGGCTACAGTTAGTCTATAAAATTTGCTGCCCCAAGAAGTGGTAATAACTGTCACTTAACATAGCTCTAAAAGGGATCAGGCTAAATCTGTGGTGATGAACAGCTAGTAGTCATTGCCCCCCCCCACACCCAAGAATAGTGAGACGATAAAAGTTTCATGGGATAAAATATGGGTCACACTTTATTAAATAACCATTATAGCCAACCATAAGTAGTGCAGTAGTGCAGAACCAGGTTTTGCATTGGGGTCTCACCAATCCCCATACCAAACAAATGGGTGAATCCCAAGCCCCAAGGTCTCATGGTCTTGAAGACAGCGAGACCCTGGCCAGCCCAAATGTGAACACCCCTGGACCTCGAGCCACCCCCCCTTGGTAACTGTTGGTCTGGGTGTGGCCCCAGCACATCTTCCCCCACGCACTGCAACCTCACAATCCGCAGTGCTGGGAGGTTGGATGAGGTACACATTACCTGTGATTGCAAGGGGAGTCACAGAAACCTGTTCCATCCGCACTACTCACCTATGTGACCATTTATTTTCCACCTCTTCAAACAGCCTGCACACCTTGACCAGTGTGGGATAGGCAAAACAAAAAAACAAACACACACACACACAAAACCCCTGCAGCCAACTGCCAATCACGATGCGGGTCAAAAATTCCTATCTGGCCCCAAAAGGTGACTAGAATACTTACACTAGTGCATAGGGTGTGCAGGTGGGCTGCAAGCCTCAGAAGAAGCTGAAAGGAGGGGGGGAGCCTGCTTAAGAAGGTGCTCCTCCCCCCTCCCATCCCGAATCACATTTGCGAGATTCTCCTGTCTTGTGATATCCTGGGAGGGAGGCAAAGAAGTTCCGCGCTGCCAAAGTGGACTCAGCAGTGGAATCAGCTTTCTATAGTTATGTATTCTGTCCAATACCAGACAGTATGCTTTGAGCTTTGTGTATCATTTGGCAAGGAATATAGCAGGAGGGTTCAGCTGTGTTTCTGTTCTGCTTCTGGGCCTTTCGTAGCCAACTGGTTCCTGCTATGTAAACGGAATGCTGGAGTAAATAGGCATATGGTCTTGTTAAAGAGCACTCTTATGTTCTTTGGTAGGAAACAGCATAAGGAGTTCACAATTTATTGGAAAAAATGATTTATAAGTTATGTGAGTGTGGATGCATATGTGTGTCTATCAGTCATTAAAAATAAAGCCATCTGAACTTCATTAGTGCTTGATCAAAAATGTGAAGGGCTCCCAGAGAGGAAACAGTTTAAAATCATAGTGCCATTATACCTTCTTAAACACTAGGTTTCTTGCTTGAGTCAGGATATAATCATCAATCTAATCTGTTTAGTCTTTTTTGCTTTGGAGATGTCCACTAACATGCTATACACAATTCTGCACTGTATATAATTACTGAAGAAGGCCTTTACGGAGGTATCCAGAGTCATTAGGTTCAAAATGATAAATAAGCATGGCTTTAACAATTACCTACCCATAGTCTAATGCAGAGAAATCCCTGACAGTAATTATTAAGGATATGTCAGAGCTCCTACACTATAGCTTATCTTTTTTCTTTTTGTAAAAACCTTCTGTTTCTTTGCTTTTCTCAGTTATTCACACATTCAGCTAGGTTACCAATCATTGCGATTTTGGGCTGATCCCCAAATTGTTTCAACCACAGGGCATTGTTTTATTGAGGAAGTGTCTGATCGCCTGATTTCCCCTCTGAATTTTAAGCTCCAAGATCAAGAATGGGGAAGGTATTTCTGTGCCATTAAAATTTTGAAGATGCAGTTTCAGCTGATCAACCCACTCATTGTTTCACTGGGGTGGTTGGGACACCACAACAAGCCAAAGACTGAGAATATCTTCGCTTACTGAAATTGAATAGAATTGCTGGGCCTGCTGACAAATTGTTGCCATAAAAAAATCACAAAGACAGCAATCATTCATTATCTCTACTGATTGCATGAATGTCTTCTATTTAAAAAAATTACAGTGCACATATACTAATAATTGATTTCAAATAATAACTTTTTATTCTGAATATACTGTTTATTCCACAATAGTTAAACACGACATTTTAAGGATTATAAATTTTTTTTATAACAGTATTGTACAAATCTTTACAAAATGTTTTTCTTTTGTTTCTTAGTTCAACCTCTTTAAATTCACAAAAGTGTCAAGAGCACACAAGGGGAGAAAACTCTTATCTGCCCAATGAACAACATTACCCCCACCCCCTTTTTTCTTTTCTTTTTGTGAGTCTGTGAAGTGAACATCTCAGTAAGACCAGACCCTGCAGAAGAATGGTGGAGATGTTCCAGAAAATGTAAGAAGCCTGAGTAGCTTTCTCAGGTCTAAATTACAAGCTTATTTAGACTTCGTACAAGATGGTATCACTTTAGCCTCATCTATTTCTATTTCTCCTAGATGTAAGCTTCAGTTTCAATGAACACATACAGGTGGCAAAAGGTGGCAGCAAGTTTCTGAAACCCTGGACACTTTTTGAACTCTCTCTCTCTCTTTTTACAATAGTCTACAGTTAATATTAACAATATTAACAATATGGTATGAAAAAAACTAGCAACCCAGGAAATTGAGAATTGAGCACTGAGAATGGAATTACAGTGGTTGCTCTTTTTCTGGAGATATTCCCAAATACAATAAGGATCCCTAACAGTTTAATCACAATTCAAACTGCATTTGGCTTAGTTGTGTTTTGCAGGATAAGCAGCATTGATCCAAGATTTCAAATGAATAGCCATAGATGTGTCATAGAGTTAATTTGGACGCTACCTTCGTTGTTCATGTGCCACTCCCCATGCTCAGCTTCCTTATTGTGTCATTAATAATGTGACAATCTAGTTCAGAAGAGTTGCCTAGGTTATCCTGGTAGTTTCAATGCCAGTACCGCAGACCCAGTAAAGGGAAATAAATGCTTATATTATGAGCACTCACATTATGTGGAAGCTGAGGACAAAGAAGCTGCCACTATGGTCCAGAACCCTTCATGTCTCACTTATATGAAGGTGGACTCCCTGCACTGAGAGGATTGTGGAGGCGTTGCATTGTCTGCACCAGAAACTGAAAACATTCAGGTGTTTTTTTCCCCCCTAGATGACAGCTCCCATGATTATGAGCCACACTCACTATGAGATCTTAGGAGTTATAGCCTGAAAAAAAAAGCCACTTCCCACAAATGCTTCTCATTTCTTGCCTGTCCACTCCCACAGTGCATGAAGTAGTCCCCCCCCCAATGCTATTGCCAATGTGAACAACTGGAGTGTGAGATTTCAGCAGTAGGGAAGCCCATACAAATACATCTCTATTGGCATACATTTCCATGCATTCTGGAACTCTATGAAGCTCAGGTTCCAAACTCTATGGAACACTATGCACGCAGAGATCTATGCCCATAGTTTTTTTTTCTGCTGAAGATGGTCACCTGAAACAGGTGGATGCAGGGAATGGGACTCATGAGGGGGGAATAATACTGGAATAGGACCAGCAGTGTACCTTCCTCAGCGTGTGGAGCCCAAGATCATGTCAGTAACATATGAATGGGCTGCTGGAAACATCTGAACAGAGCATAAATGTCCTACATAGAAGGGAACAAAGCATCTCCATGTCCTCTGAATAGATACTGAAAATTTAAAACAGCAAGTAACACTTGGGTTGCAAAGGTCACTTAAAAAGGGATTACGCCTCTTTGAAATGCAGTAAGGCCAGTGCTTAAATTCAGTCAAAGGAACCGTATACGAAAACTTACAAATGGCGAAAACTTACAAATGGCAGCAACACTGTTTTTCTTGTCAAATATAAGCAATAAAGCCTCAAGCATTAGAAACATGTAAAGAGATCATACAAGACTTAAAAATCTCCTCAGTCAAACTCATGAGATATATGTCATGTTAAAAACCTGGTACAAAGATGGACCACACATCGTGTTCTGGCAGTAATGCTGGTTGTTCTAATAGAAGGGCAGGGGGAGGGGAGGGGAAAAGATTGTATTGTTTTCTTTCTTTTAAAAACGGAACTAGAATTACTTGGTTGTTGGATAGCACAGCTGGGCTTCATGGTCACTGTAGAAATTTAAAAAGTTCAAACAGCCTCCCGATATTCCCTTGATACAGCTAGAAGTTTTAAAGCAACATGGTATATGCTAAATGTAAAACTTTATAAAAAAAAACACACACATTATAATATGCACCCCCTCAAGCCAATTACTGTCAAATGGGAACATTACAGAGAGAAAGTGAGAGAGAGAGAGAGAGAGAGAGAGAGAGAGAGAGAATGTACAATTTGAAAGAGTTCACCTTTAATCTTAGAGGTAACTTTGCTATTCATAAGGTGACCTTTACAATGTCATGGTAAATCCCCCCCAATATATGTATATATGTATATATCTATATATCTACAGTGCTTTGTTTAAACATTAAACAACTGGATACTATTTGCATACGATCAGCAAAAAAAAAGCATTTTCCAAACCACGAACAAGAATCCAGGATTTGAATGGTTTGAAAAAAAGGTGTGGCCAAATTTCAATGTGTGTACTTTGTGTTCTTTCATTCACCTTAAGCTACTTGAATTCATTAAAAAAGAAGGGGGGAGCATGACAGCCAGTGACAGGGGACAGAGATCCTAACCCAAAAAGCTGAAGGGGTTTCCTCATGCATCCTTCTCTGATGAAATGACAGGCCCTTGAGTAAGTTGGTGTGTGACAAGCTTTCCATGAAGAAAGGTCTCACTAGGCCAGATCAGGCCTAGGGACTGTACGCAGCCCACCCCCTGGTTTAATTAATTGATCGTTGATATGCCTCTCACAGTTTGAAACATCTACTTTAACCAGAAAATATTTGCCTCAGTATTCATCAAGTGTTAGCTCTTCTCTGGATTACAAGGAGCTGGTTCTTGCATGGGTAGCCAACAGCTTTCCTACTTTAGCTTTCCCAGACATATTCTCTAGGATTCTCTCATCCTGCTTGACAGTTTATAGGTGAATACAAATACATTAAATTCAAGCACTTCACCGATTAGTTGACTCTAAGATAAAAAGTTTGGGTCACCACAGCAGTAAGGTAGTTTAGTGCTGATGAGACACTGCATTTTGCCAAGCCCATGGGGAGGGAATTTGATGCAATACTTAATATGGAACTATAATTTTCTAGCAACACCTATCATACTTAAGCTCCCATCCAGCAAATTTCTACCACCCCCAAACATTAATTAGAAGCTCCTTCCTCTGATTGCTTGGTTTGTCAGTGAGGCCATAGCATTAGTGATTAGTGATTAACTGACCTTGGATTAGGTGATTTCTGCTTTCCATATGGGAGACAGTTAATTACTAGGGTTTTAAAAAACTGTTTCCTTTTAAAATATATATATAAATTGCAAAATAACAGAATTTTGTAATTCAAAAATAACAATAAACAGAGAGGAAGCCAGTAATTAACCCTCACCCTTGCAGGGACAAAAATTGAACAATTAATGGGCAATTTTATCAGTGTTACTGTAGCCATACCAAACAGGAAGCAATTAGAAGCAGTACCTACCAAAAAAAATTATTACAGGGATGATCTAAAAGAAATAATAGGATGAGATCAAAAAGTGGTTGCCAATGACATCTGGTGAAAAAAGGGAGTGAACTAAGGATAGAATATGAAAACAAATAGCCTAGCAGAATGATATACAAAGTGGTTTACCCAGGATTATAGTAAGGGCATAATTTACCACTTAGCATATGGGTATCTACTATAAACATTCATTTGTGAACATTTTTATGTGTGGGAGTCATGGATGCTATAAAGTATCACTTAAGCATTCATTTTTAAGAGACTAGAATTAGATAAATCAGCAGGAAGTGTTTGTTATAGCATTACACAAGGGAGCATGTTTTTTCTTGTTAAAATGAAGGGGATTGAGAATTGTCTTTTTTTATGCCCGAATCCAGTTCCCTTACAGACCTGGGCAGCCCTGATTGTTCGAATGTTCAACTAGGTGGAAAAATGACTTTCCTCAGTATCTCAATTCCTTAAGATACTGCCATTTCAAATACTGCTGCTTGGCAGAGGTACAAGCTCTAGAACACAATCTATTCCTGAAAAGGTAAATCAAGTTAACTTAATTTAGCATAAGAAAATGCAAACTTATTCCTGCCCTAACACTTTCAAGACAGGTTCCACTCTGCTCACTTTCACAGCAAAAAATACTGGAACACTGCACTTCTTTTACATGGTTGAAATTAGGATGCAAATAAATACATGCTCAACATACTTTGCTGCCTCTCCAGTGCCATCTTCATAAAGAGAAAGCTATCTGAGGAAAAGTACTTTGATTGGGCAAAGACTGGGCTAGCTGCAGCAGCACCAGAAAGACATGTCCCTGTCTTATTTTTGTTCCACCATTTTGAAATTGGCTAGTATTCCCTCAGGGAATATATGCAGAAGCACTCGCTTTTCCAAAAGAAACAACTGGCATTCCATAGGGCCTTATGGAAAGAACTGAACAATCCAAAGTAGTCACTCCTTTATTATTTAGCAGCAGCAGAAGAAAATAATTCAGTGTTTTTAGCATGACCAAAATCAAAGCGTAAACTTTAAATCCATGTTCAAGTTTGACTGGATTTTTTAAAAAAACAGAAACAAAACCAAAATGACCACTCCAATGTAACACTTTCCCCATTTTGGACGCAGCCGCTTGCCAGCATAATGATATTAGGATTTTGCTTTTAAAAAGATTTTATAAAAAATAATAATAATTGCATATTGCAGCTTATAGTAGAACTGTATAATATCAGCATAGTTGCAGTCGTTGGTTCATCTTGTCGTATAATACTGATAAGTTGTGAAAAAACTGGGCAGTGGGCAAAAGGGTTCCTGCTTTGTGTTTGATATTCTACCCTAACATTTTAATTTACTTCCCTGCTCTGATTGATCATCTGGTTCATATAAAAACAGTGTTTTTGTTATTCACAATCAAGCATCTTTGTACACACATACAGATTCAAGGCTCCCATTGGTTCAGGTTGTGCTACCGTTTCAGTAAGATCCAGCTCCTCTCGTACACTAACACTTTTACCGTGAAGGACAACGGTTGGAAGCTTTACAGATTCTAAAAAGGGAGCAATGATACTGGGTGGAAATGAATTTTTTAAAAACAAAACAAACACCAACCCTACAAAGTACAAATCTGAGCAAACATTCTCTTCTAAAAGAAGTAGCTGAAATTTAATTTCATTTACCTAAAATACCTGTATATAACATTATAAGGTGTTTTCATTGGTATAAAATCCTCCTGTTTACACAGACAACTAAATGTACCGTACCTCTTTTCAGCTTTTACATTGCACAGTATATTCAGATATCTGTTTAACAATACATAACTTAAGGTTAAAATTGCATCACATTGCAATATTTGGCTTCTCACACAACAGAACAATCACTCAGTTACCTTTAAATTAACTATACTCTACCATTGAAAGAGAGAGAAAAAAACCTGAAAGAGACAGCAAAGCGGCAGCTTTATCATCATGCAAAATACCCTTGGAAACCAACGTTCAATATTCACAAAGACATTTTTATTCACAAACTTTGTGTCTGAACATTTTGGAGGACTTGGCTAGTGATACGTCAGTGCTGAGGGAATAAGAATTGTGATATAGGCAGCAAGAATTGTGCAGCGAGAACAGATGCAAACTTTGGGATGAGAATCACTTTTTTTCCCTCCCTTAAGGTATGAAAAACTTTCAGGAAACTTTCTGTTTAGATCTTGCAGGGCTGTCTGGTTTTTTTTTTCTGTCTTTGAAAAGTTCTGCATTTATTTTAGAAACTTCCTCAAGCTTACCCATTGTACTCATTTTTTCAGGAAAAAAAATAAAGATCATTCATCATAAGGCATTTTTCTTTATGGAGAATTGCTGTACCTGGCCAGCCCTAAAGTCCTTAGTGCAGCACACACAAACATTTGACTGGTGTCAAACACTTCCCTCAGTACTCACAAAACTCTAAAACCTCCATAATTTTTAAAGCTTTTTTTTAAAAAAACAAAACACACACCTTGTGCCCAGGATGCACCGAAAAGCTAAATGCTTGTCTGCAGCTGCCATCTTCATTTACCCAGAATGCCTCTGTGTACCAAAGGTCCAGAGACATTACACAGAAGTGCCAGCTGGAACTAGCACTCAACTTTGCCATGTGTCCCCATGCCTATTAAAGTTACAAGCATCTAGAGGGAAAGAAAAAGAGGCTTTGCCACAGACAAACTTAGGGGGAGTGATAGGGAATAGCTATGATTATGTTGAGGGATGCTATGAGGGGCTAGGAAGGGTTGCAAGTGAGGTATGGAGTTTTTCTTCTTCTTCCTGAATTCGGGGGCGCATGTTTTTTTGTGCTTATAGTGAATTGGGAGGATGTTTTGGAAAATAATTCATGGGAATTATAGGGATCATCCTATTGATGTGGGTTTACAGGAGTCGTTTCCAGTTTTGATTCCCAGACCCCATGTATATCTAATAGTCATGTTTTCGGGCAAATTACCTGTCTTTCAACCCACCAGTTCAACTCTTGTAAAACAAGTGTGATTGGCCACACTTACCATAGCAGCTATTACTGTAAGTTTGTCCATGACATGTTTTCAAATGGCCAGTTGTGCCCACCAGCACTCAAAGTTTGAGGAACCCTGGGCTAGCTAATTATGAAATGACCACTGGATGGTCATGAAACTGAAGTCTGTTTTGCATTCTGAACATAACAAATGATGAATGCAAGCACTAAATAATCAGTATCCAAAACAAGAGCGCTAAGGAAGTGACAGGGTTTTCCCCACCCCAGTCTTACAAAATATTAGTTTTAAAGAATAAAGAGTGCAACAAATTCAAAACTAAGATCAAATGAACACAAATAATTTAACCATTTGAAGGGGAGCCCTTTTTACATAAAAGTATTCAAAAGCACAAAAAAACCCCTGCAGCTCCTGAATAAAGCACATGTAGAATTCAGTTCCAATGGCCTAGATGATGCAGCATTCACACACGTCTACAAATCTGACACGCCAACATGCAGTCACGGTGGGTGTCTTCAGCCTGTCCCAATGAAGATATCAAGTAATAAGCCTTGCCCTAGATCTGCACTCGTTGCAGACTGACCCCCCTTCTTTACCGATGAAATGGTAGGCTTGACTTGTTACGCAGCTTTTGGTTTTAACAGGGTCATAACTGGCAATATCTACTGCCAGATAACAGCCAGAGTAGGATAAGCTGGATTGCTATCATAGACCACAGTGATGGGGTCAGGCCAGAGACTCCACCACAGTCTCTTGAATCCTCCTGCAGATTAAAAGAAAAGAAAAGAAAAGAAAAGAAAAGAAAAGAAAAGAACAGAAAAGAAAGAAAGAAAGAAAGAAAGAAAGAAAGAAAGAAAGAAAGAAAGAAAGGGTGTGTCAGTATTAGCTGAAATGTTACATGATAAGAAAGATTATTGCCTGACTTTACCAACAGCTTTCCCACTTATGAAATTTATTCTCATAAGGCTAAGACTCATGGGAATCAAGAAGCTCACTAAGGTATTTGTATCCAAAATAAAAAGATCTCTGCGTAACCATGGATCTTCTTAGTTAAGATCTTGATCTTAGAACTGCAGAGGTGGAAGGAATCCAATAGATGATTGAGTCAAAGGATGCACAGTGGGGAATCAAACACCCAACCGTATCTAAACCACTGAGCAGCTCAGCTACTTAGCTTGTGCCAGAGCCTTCTGGTTTGGCGTACCTGGTGTCTGATACCTATAGCAGTTGCCCAAACTCAGCATGCTCTGAGAGGTGCCCCAAGTCAACACTATCATCACTCAACCCAAGTTGTTCGGAAAAGAACTTCAATTTATTTTCAGGAGTGGCTTTGTCTCCACTTTCTCACCTTACTTTGCAATCCATAGGATTTAACAGCTGCAAAACAATAGTTTGTATGGAACTGTACCCTGAAAACATTCACATAAAACATGAGCACAAACAAACAAATGCCCAGGATCATTCTTGTAGTCCACCACAATGCATGCATTTACAGAAATGCTTTCAAAGGACAAAGTAGCCAGTGGGTGTGGTTTGAAGCTAAATTAACCCCTAGTTTAATAGTTTAATTGTCACCTTTGCTACGAGTTGCAGGAATATAAAAACATACTCGGAAGCAACAACATCACTGTAAGTATTCCTATACAATCAGACTTCTGTTTGGGTCAACTTATTGTCTACTTCGACTCCTGAGGAGTCTCCAAAGTTCAGAAAGGTCACTCTCACTCTCTGAATCTCACCTTACAGGTCTTCCATCTTTGTTTTTCAACTACAAATATCACAAATTAACAAGTAAGTAACTGTCAAAGGCCAGCACGAGTGCCAGGGACAGAACCTGAGGCAGCATGTCTGTGAAACACATCATCCACTCAGCTAAGGATCCTACTAATCCTAGATCATATTATGAAGAGTATCAAACTACGGTGGAAATAGAAATGGACACAATTTCTTAATTTCATGCTTTTCCACTTTTTAAAATGTATAAAATTATGTCCACAATATTTACAACGAAAAATTGGGCATTATGGAAATCTCTTATAAATATGTTTATTTGTTTATGTGTTTTATCAAGTATAATGCATTCTCCTCACTGACGATAGTGTATTTTTTTCCAATTGTGCACATATTTAGCCATTTGCGTTTTATGAAACATCCATTGTTTGGGACACACTTTGTTTCTGTGAAATGTCCCAGAAGCTCTGCAAATGATTGGGATGAGGCTGTGTTTATTCTCACCAAAAATCCTGGGAGGTTTAAAAAAAACTCCCATGAGAATTTCAGGCAGCCACACTCAATCTGTTACAAAAGAAATACCCTTCAAAAAGAACATCAAAAGAGTAGAAACCTTATATTCTCATGGGTGGTGTTCTAGATTCTTATGCTTACCATAGGCATGACATGGCTGAGAAGTGTTTGCACATTTTGTCTTTCATCATATAGTCATTCCTGTGGCAGAGAGCAGTCCCACTCCATCCCAGCTCCCACACTTCATTTAAAGCCTAGAGGGAAATGTTGTAGAGAGCTAATGCGGTGTAGCGGATAAAGTGTTAGACTAGAACTCAGATGACTTGGCTTCAAATCACATGGCCACAGAAACTCTCCTGGGATGGTAGCAGGGCTAAACTACTCCTGGAACATCTCACATGTCTTAAAAAACTTAAGTCAGAAGTGATTTGCAGCATATAACAGCAAAATGTCACAGGACTTTTTCAGATCAGAAAGTGTGGGCAGTCAGAGAACCTGTAGTTATAAACAGACATATAATGGAAAAGGGGGGGGGATGCTACACTCTTGGCTGTGGTGCAGTGTTTGTTGTTGTTTAGTCATTTAGTCGTGTCCGACTCTTCGTGACCCCATGGACCAGAGCACGCCAGGCCCTCCTGTCCTCCACTGCCTCCCGTAGCTGGGCCAAATTCATGTTGGTTGCTTCAATGACACTGCAGTGTTACAATAAGGTAAACAAATATAACCAAAACCAATTCTAAAGTGACTTGAAAATAAATCAGAAAAATGGAAGCTTAAATAAAACTTTGGGGAAATTCGAGGACAAATTATGGCGCAGCAGCACTAATTTCACCTCCTTCCTGAAGCTGGAAGCAATGCTGCCCTGATTCACATTCACTGTGGGTGTCAGAGGGAAACACAATGTTATAAGCATCTACAGGAGTAACAAAAGGTACTGTAGCTGTAGCAACCACTCCAAAATTTAATATTTGGAAGCCGTCGAACCCTGAAGAAAAACGAATGCTGAACCAAAACATTTTGAGATTTTTCTTCTTCTTACTCTCCTGGTAACAGAAGGCCAGTTTGCAGGATTATTTTCAGAATTTTGTCACAATTTATTTCACAGCTGCCTGTTTGTTCCCTTCCAGTATTCCTATACTGCAGTAGTACGACACTAAGTGGAGGGCACTGTACTGGAAGCAAAGCACTGTGTAGTTGCTGTTTTTGCTTCCAGCGGTGGCAGTACAAAACCTGAAAATCCTTTGCGTGTGCCATGACTATTGCCAACGGTGAGCTCCCTTTCAGCGAATTTGCTGGATAATTTCTCTCTCTGCTGGAAGAGTTCAGTGCAATTGTTCCCCCTGCCCTGCCCAGTTGCTCCCTCCACAAACAGGGAGGCTCTTGAAAGGCTGCTTTTGCACAACTACAACAGGGACTGTGGAATCTAACAAAATTCTTTTAATCATATTCACCACCATCGTCTTAGAACTGTAGAGGTGGAAGGGGCCCTCAAGTCCAGCCCCTGTCTAGGAGGCACAGTGTGGATTTGAACTTCCAACCTCTGGCTCCGCAGATAGATGCCTAAACCACTGAGCTATCTAGCTGTTCTCGTTGTTTCTGCACTTTAGGCTGGAAAGTGTGCATGTGGTCTGTGAGCATTCTTCAAGCCCCAGCCCCAAAGCATCCCTTATGCCTCTCATATCAAACTACTGTATTATATATTAATGTGAACAAGATCCCTGGCAGTGATTCCCAACCTTGGGTCCCCAGATATTCTTGGACTAAAGCTCCTGGGAGCCTTCAACATTAGCTGTCCTAGCCAAAATTTCTGAGAGTTGTAGTCCAAGAATACCTGGAGACTCAAAGTTGGGAACCATTGCTCTATGGCATAGTTTTCTTCAGATTACTATAGACATAATCTACTTGAAAAATTACACCAGCTAAGCCCATTGGTACAAATTTCAGTGGTGAATTGCCTTAAGTTAAGAAGTCAGTGTAAGCATTTGCTGTCATGCACTGAGTCATGCTACTGGCATGTGGCAACAAATGCATATATAGACTTCTTAACTGGCAGAATTTGCCACTGCAATATTACTGCCAATGAAGTGGCATTGATGTGTGTAGCTAAGAGTATTCTAGTCTCTAAGGTATGTCTTGCATCCTCAGAAGATCTTTAACATGTACACATTATTAACTGCCTCTGACTTATGGCAACCCTATGAATGAGTGACCTCCTAAATGTTCTGTCCTCAGCAGTCCCACTTAGCTCTTACAGACACAAGGTTGTGGTTTCCTCTATGGAGTCAAATACTCTCATATTCAGTCTTCCTCTTTTCGTAACATGAAGTTGCGTAGTTTTCTTGTACTCAATATTTTTGTCTTAACATTCAACTGCAATCTTGTTTTGGCACTTTTTCCTTCACTTTTGTCAGAAGTCATTCAAAGTCATTGCTGATTTTTGCCAGTAGTATGGCGTCATCTGCATATCTTAAATCATTGATGTTTCTTCCATCAATTTTCACTCCCCCATCTGAATCTTACTTGGCTTTCTGAATATTTTCTGCATACAGACTGAACAGAAACAGATAGGTATGTAAAATAATGCTTTCCTGAGAGATTTTCACATAACTAGTTAACCACTAGGCTATTTCATAAACAGAAGTAGGGAGGGAACACTAATCGTTTATAATCTATAAATCAGGTTTTGCAGTTGCATAATTTTCCTAAATAAAAATATTTCTGAAATGGCTTTCTATTTAGGATTACTTCATACATAAAAGCATGTATGAGTGTTAATCATTAATTATTGTGCATCCTTCTGGTAAACCTAAATTTAACGAAACAGGGTGTGTGTTCATTTAATCATGATGCTGGAAATGCATAAAAATATGCTTGAAATAACATGGGTCTCTCTTGTACCCAAACATGTTTCACAATCCTGAATGTACTATGCGTTCACTCTAAGCTGCCTATGGTGAATAGAGTTTATTTAAATAAAATTGACAGAATAAAGTATTTGGGAGTACTATCCTAAATGAGAGAAGCCCAAACTAAATCCTTGTTCTATTTGCCTGCTATTATAGAACAATGCCATTTTTGCTTTAAAAATAGACACTAGAAGTTACTTCAGTTGTGCATCATAAGGACTTCATAGGACTTAATCATGAGTGAGTCAACCAAGATAAGGTCAAAAAATCTTTAGAGACTTCCTTTCAGAAAGTTCTTTTGAAAAACCCTCATAACTCAAAACACTGGTAAGAACTTAGCAACTCCTCTGGAATCTCCTGTATATGTTTATTTAATTTAATTTTTTAAAATTACAATTCAATGGCTAAGAAAAAAAATACCTGACTCACTATGTAACTTGTTGTTCTTGCTCCATGAAATCATTTGATAATCAATCTAGCCCTACATCTCTCTAGAACAGAACTGGAAAACTAAATAAAGTTGTCACAAATTATTATTATGGTTAAACAAACCCCGTGACTCACTTTTGCTCCTCTGTATTTCTTTTTCAGCAAAAGAAATACAGAAAGTGGA